TGATGTCACCTATATTTTTTTATGTTGCTAGTTAGCATCATTTCATTAAATCTGAAGAACTTACCAGCATTTCTTATAGGCCAGGTCTAGTGATAATGAACTCCCTCCTTTTATTTTTTTAATATTCACTTGAGAATATTTTTTCCATCTTTCTTTTAGGTGTTTTTTTTTTTTGTTTTTTTTATTTATTTATTTATTTTTTTTTTAAAGAGAGACTGGAAGGGAGTGTGTGTGTGTGTATGAGAGAGTGAGACCGAGAGTGAGTGAGAGAGAGAGGGAGTGTGTGTGTGTGTGTGTGTGTGTGTGTGTGTGAGAGAGAGAGAGAGAGAGAGAGAGAGAGAGAGAGAGAGAGAGAACATGAATATGAGAGAGACACACTGACTGGTTGCCTTCCACATGCATCTCTATTGGGGCAGGGAGGGAACCTCCAACCTGGGAATTGAATCTGCAACCATTCTGTGTATGGGCTGAACACTAAACCACATCTGCCGGGGCAATGAACTTCCTCTTTTTGGTTGTCTAGCAAAGTCTTTAGCTCTCCTTTATTTCTGAATATCATCTTTGCTGAATAAAATAAATGTTTTTATTTCAGTATCTTGAATATATCATCTCACTGTATCCTGCCAGATTTCTGCTGAAAAATTTGCGGATATACTTATGAGGATAGCTTTATATGTGAGAGATTATTTTTCTCTTACTGCTTTTAAAAATTCTCTCTTTATCTTTGATTTTAGACAAGTTTATTATATTACTAGTGTGTGTCCCTTAGCCCAGCCTGCACCTTCTCCAACCTCAAACATCCCTCTCACAATCCAGAACTGCTGGCTTCCAACTGCTCACCTGATTGCTCCTAACCGCTACTGCCTGCCAGCTCATAACCACTCCCCTGTCAGCCTGATTGATGCCTAACTGCCCTCCCCTGCCGGCCTGGTCACCCCTAACTTCCCTCCCCTGCAGGCCTGTTCCCTCCCAACTGCCCTTTCCTGTAGGCCTGGTACCCTCCAACTATACTCTGCTGTCAGTCTGGTCACCCTCAACTGCCCTCCCCTACAGGCCTGGTTCTCCCCAAGTGCCTCCTCTGCAGATCTGGTTTCCCCACAACTGCCCTCTCCTGCAGGTCTAGACCCCTCACCTCGATGGCCTGATCACCCCTAATTACCCTCCATTTCAGGCCTGGTACCTCCCAATTGTCCTCTCCTACTGGCCTGATCACCCACAACTGCCTTTCTTATCTTGTGTCCACATGGGGAAGCCATCTTGTGTGTTGGAGTGATGGTCAATTTGAATATTACCTCTTTATTATATAGTATCATTTTTGCTTAATTACATAATTTTATTTAATTTTGGTAATAGTCTTTTACAGGTAAATGAAATATGGCTTCAGAAGAAAAGTCTTTCTCCAACGACACATGCTGAGTGTATTGTGAATCTAACATTGCCAACTCTCCCATGGCTTTACTTTTCTTCCCCTTCTCCTACCTCTTGTACAATTGAAGAAAAATATTTTTTAAGAAAACAATCACATTGTGGCCTATTTGTGCAAGAATAAGCCAGGAAAGTGTATAATCTTATATTTAAAATTAATTTTCATGTTAGTTAGGGTTAAACAGAAAATATACATTAATGTAAGGCTTGTGTCTAATTTACTTTTCTAGGTAAGTGAACGAAAACATTTACTGTTTTGAAATTGAGCTTTTAAAAAGTGTATTTATTATCTTTATTAAATTATGTCTTGGAAGAGATAATTTTAGGTTAAAATTTTAGGGGGACACTTGGGCTTTATGAATTTGAATATTTAAATTTCTCCAGAGGTTTGGGAAGTTCTCAGCCATTATTTCTTTAAACAAGTGTTCTGACCCTTTCTACCCTTTTTATCATCCTGGCATTAATAGTGCACAGATTATTTCTGCTTAATGGTATCCTACAATTCATGTAGGCTTTCTTTACTCTTTTTCATTCTTTTTTCTTTCTTCTCTTCTGATTGAATAATTTCAAATGACCTATCTTCTAGTTCTTTAATTCTTTCTTGTGATTGGTTGAAATCAATCTTAAAGCTCTGTATTGAAATAGTCAGTTCAGATCATTATATTCTTCAACTCTAGGATTTTTTATTTATTTTAAAATGATTTCTATTTCTTTCTTGAATTTCATAGTTGTTCATTCATTGCATTTACTGTTTTTGTTTAGTTGTCTTTTTTTATTGTAGTTCACTGAATTTTTAAAAGAGGATTATTTGAGTTATTTGTTAGACAGTTTGTAGGTGTCCATTTCTTTAGGGTAATTCATTGGATGGAGCTTTATTAATTTTTTTGATAGTGTCATATTTTTTTGATTATTCAGGATCCTTGTGGCCTTGCATTGGTATATGCACATTTGCAGGAGTAGGCACCTCTTCTAGTCTTTACAGAATGGCTTAGACAGAAAATCCCTTCAATTATTAGCCATTCTTGAGAGTCTGGGTGGGCCATCTATGATGTCCACAGTGGGCTTGCCACTGGATCCTTTGAAAGAGAGGTTTGGCGCCTTGGTCAACAGGTAGAAAGATATGATGCTTGGATTCATGATGCTGCTATCTGGGCCTATGTGGCTGTGCCTAGATTTAGGCTTCATGGGGTCCTCCTAGTACTGGGCCAGCTGGGAACCAGCTTGGTACATGCCAGAACTGAGGTCCATGGTAAATCCAATTCTCACCTCACTTTCCCTCCTCCATGGAAAGGGTCCCTTTCTCTGCTCTGGGCTTCCTGGGGTGAAGGAGATATGCAAAACTGTCTTTCATACTCACCTCAAAGCATCTTTTCTTATTTTTCTACCCCACACAGGTGCTGTAATCTCTCACTTAGAACCTTAGGTCTTGTGAAGATATTTTTGTATGTGATTAGTTGTTCATATTGATATTTCTGGTAGGGGACATGTATGAAAATTCCTATATCACCATCTTGCAGAATTTCTTCAAAGAGGTATTTCCTGGCCACCCTCTCATTCTTCTATTGTAAGCTTTTGTTTATGAGTTAATTTGAATTAATTTTCTTCCTCCTGATCCTCTTACTAGAATTTAATATCTTATTCACTGTCAAATCCCCACTGTCTAAAACAGAATGGATACACAGTAAATAATGAATGAATGAATGAGCAAATGAGCACAATTTTATAAAAACTGGAAAATATAAACATGCAGTTTTGGTGTTTAGGTAAATCTGTTTACTATGTAATTGTATTTATCTGAAAGAATATGGGTTTTATAAAAATACTGGGGCTAACCAGCAGACCCTGAGCATTGAGTGAATGGATTACATTAACACAACATTTGCTGTGAAAGAGAGGGCTAAGGGACTGCCTGGCTAAAGGAACCACATAGCCTGCTTCATTAGGTTTTTATTGTAGCAGCAGTTTGAGATAAATTTATCTTTAAGATATAATCAGTAGGGTAAGCAATATTTGGAGGACACATGTTTTTGTAGTGTCTTTTAAGCAAGGACACCCAAAGATTAAGTATAAGGATTCCAGTAAACACCGCAGGGGTTTGCACATTAATAGACCTGTTTGGAAAGGTCAAGGAATAATTAGGAGCACTGCCTAAGTAGAAATTCCAATAAACAAGGCAGGTGGCCTTTTACACACTTCCCCTTTCTCAGAATGTCTTCCTTATAAACTTTCCAGGCAAGTCTCCCATGCTTTCCAACAATAAAACTTATAGTAATATTTCTAGGGCAATCTACTATAAGTTTGAGGCAGTTCTTTGCCTATATTTAATTTCTATAACAGATGAAAAAGGGAGGAAATAAAAGTATGGTGGCTGTAGAATTTTTTTTTCACCAGCAAACCCTGAAATCTAAGGCTTTAATATCTGACAATGGCTTGGCCAGTTGGATAATCTTCCTGAAATTCTGAATATTGTTTAAGGAACTGACAGCAAAAACACAGGTACAATCAGGAAGTTGTCCACAGTAGTGGCAATGGTTCAAGAGGCTTATGGCAATGGTGTTCTGGGCCCTCGGTGTGTGTGTGTGTGTGTGTGTGTGTGTGTGTGTGTGTGTGTGGTGGCAATGGAAACAACAGCAACCCTTGGCTGACGGTTCTGGCCATTATCTTCATTATTTTGGCTAACATCTTCCTGGCACTGCCTCTTTTCCCCCCTACTCATATTTGTAGTCTGACTTCCCATTAGTTTTATGAACTAGCCATTCTCTTTTCAATAATAAGCAGCCTTTACTGCTTAAAATAACTAAAGCTATTTTGTGTCAATTAAAAACAATGGAGTATCCTCCTAATTGATCCTTTCTTTTATCCTACCATTTTCTTCAATGTTTTCATCATAACAGCTAAAGTGAGCACTTCCTTCCTCCCTCCCTCCCTCCCTCCCTTCCTTCCTTCCTTCCTTCCTTCCTTCCTTCCTTCCTTCCTTCCTTCCTTCCTTCCATCTCTTCTCTTCTCTTCTCTTCTCTTCTCTTCTCTTCTCTTCTCTTCTCTTCTCTTCTCTTCTCTTCTCTTCTCTTCTCTTCTCTTCTCTTCTCTCTCTCTCTCTCTCTCTCTCTCTCTCTCTCTCTCTCTCTCTCTCTCTCTCTCCACATGTCTCTTCCTTGATTCATGCACACACACACACACTCTTCTGTCTCAGACTCCGTTCATTTTAATTGTTTTTCCAGGAACACTCACTTTCACATATCTCTATGGCTTGCTCATCATTGCCTTATGAACCACCCATGACTACCCATTTAAAATCCCAATCCTGAAATCCTCTGTCTCACTTCCCTAGTTTGCTTTTCTAACATTCATTTACTATGTTTATTTTTAATTATTTACCTTACCAAATAGAATGTAAGGCTCACGAGAGAAGAATCATGCCCATTTTATTCACTGATAAGTCCCAAATACCTGAAGAGTATGCTGGCCCACCTGAATATTCAATAAATATTGATTGACTAACATGAATAAGGGAAAGCTTTCATTGCTGGTCAAGTCGGTGGAGTTTGAAAATGAAATAACAGACCATGGCCATTTAACTATTCTTTAAAATGGATTGGAGAGTATTGGAATTGGAAGTTATAATAACACCCAGAGAAGCAGGTATAGAGAGAAGAGAGGATGGGGAGGAAAAGGTCATGAGCCAATAAGAAGACTGAGGCTGGGTTATTACAAGGGTGGCTCATCCTGTGGAAAATCTTTGGTGGTGGGCTAGAAGAAAAGATAGATTTTAAGTGTTTGCAGTGGCCTATAGATGTCACACACACAATACACAATAAACATGCCACACACAAAGAATTAAACTCCTTGATGCCTTTTTTAGGGGGGAGGGGTATAAGAATCACAAAAAATTGATGTGTCCCACATTTTGGCCAAGAACACCATAAAGACATGAAATCTACAACAAGAATTTGATACAAGACACAAATCTAGCCAGAGGTGAAGAAACAATCTGCAGGTTTTTGCTGAAATATCAGACAGGGCATGGCTTTTCCACTGGTGTAGAAGATATGCTACCAATTCACACTACATATTGTCAGGTGACCCTTGCTGACCTGTGACCTGTTATAATAGCGCCTTTTCTTAGGGTTGTTGACATAATTTTGGGAGATGGGGGTGGGTGTCCCTGTACACTTGGGCAGAGCTCTGTTTTCCAATGGTTCCTTCCATACCCAGCAGAGGGGCAGTCAGCGGGCCACCAGGCAGAGCTCATAGGTTGGGGGAATGTTGCCAAAGCCTGAGATCTTGGGAGTGATATCGATGTCAGCAGGTGGCACCAGTGGGCGTAGGGAGAAGTTCTGAAGGATGGAGGTCAAGTAGAGGAAGAGTTCCATTCGGGCCATGGCCTCGCCCAGGCAGATGCGCTTTCCTGTGAGCACATTGGAGGAAGGGAAGGTTGGTCACACTTGCACTGGGATAGTGGAGTCATGAGGAGCCTTCTGACCCCACCACTTACCTGAGTCTCAGCTACTTCCTCAGCATCTCAGGGGTCATAATAAAATTCGCTTCCTAGAGTTATTATAAAGACTTGGCGAGTTTCTAGCTTAGTGCTTAGCTAGGATCTGTCACTAGGATATGTGGCAGCTACTTCTCTGATGGCTTAGATTCCATCATATCCAAGGTGGGATGGTTGTAAAGGAACTTTGAATATGAAGATTCTGTGCATTTAAATCTCTTAAATGTTCATCAGAAGCCTAATTGGTGCTAGATAGTGTTGAGGAGGAAAAACAAAAGCACACACGAGTAGTGTGATTCACCCTTCCAACGGTTTGGAGGGATTAATCTCTATTTTAGAGACAGGAAGCTGAAGTAGCTCCTCCATGGGCCCCACCATTTGTAAGTGGCAGAGTAGCATCCTGTTTCCTAACCATGGTCTCTTTTGTACTGCAATGGTGTATGTGACTAATTCACACTGCATATTTCAGACAGAGACCATATAACTGGAAAAACCTAAAATAGTTTCTGTTTGGTCCTTAGCAGAAAAGTTTTCTGACTCTTATACATTTAGTGCTAGTACTTTTCTAAGTATAAGAGTCAATGATTCTAATATTCTGAGATTCAGGGATTCTACGATTCTTTGACATAGCACCCAATTTCCCTTCCAGATATGAACCAAATATGAACCAATGGTTGAGAGACATGTCAAGCATGTTCCTGGGAGAATTCAGACCGTATAAACCTACCAGAAGAAAAAGGAACAAAGGCTTCATTCTTCTTGAAGCGGCCCTGTTCATCCAAGAAGTGTTGAGGATAGAAGGCATCTGGGTAGCGGAAGTATTTGGGGTCTTTGAGGACAGAACCAAGCAGGGGAAACACGTCAGTGCCCTGGAGTAAAAACAGGGGAATGAAGAGAAATCAATGTTGGAATATGGGTTAAGGAACCAGGAGGAGAGAGGGGTATAGTGGAGTATAGTGTAGGGAGAAGAGGTGCCAATGAGGGTGTACTCCACCTTGGGTAGAAGGTAGCCTCGGAAATGAGTATCCCGAATGACGTTATGTGGAACACCCAGGGGCACGATATCTGTCAGTCTCTGTATCTCATGGATCACAGCATCTGTGTAGGGCATCTTGGTTCGGTCTTCCACACTTGGCATCCGATGTGGTCCAATGACCTGGTCAATCTCTTCATGGATCTTTGCTGGAAGAGGCCAAAAAAACATAACAAAGGACACAGGATATATTTTTAGGGGCCAGGTTTTGGCCATGGGTTTGTATTTTTTTGTGTGTTTTTTGTTAATCTTCACTCAAGGGTATTTTTCCCCATTAGTTTTCAGAGAGAGTGGAAGGGAAGGGGAGAAGAGAGAAAGAGATAGTAGAGTTAGATAAATATATATATAGAGAGAGCAGGGCTGGGCATGAGACCTATAACTCAAGTATGTGCCCTTGACCGAGACTAAACCCTTTGGTGTACTGGCTGATGCTCTAACCACTGAGAAACACTGGCCATGGCCATGTGTTTGTATCTTCAGTACCTGTGGATCCTGAGGGAGCTGGCCATGTGTGTTTGGATTGCCTTTTTATTCATAACACCTGACACATTAGTGGGGTTAGTAAATACTCATCAAATCACTGAGAGGCACATAACCTGGAGCCTTGAATGCCATTGTGACATTTTGTCTTCATCTTGAAAAAAATGAAGGAGCCATGGAAGGCTGATGAACATGGCAGAGTCCTGGTCCCACCTGGGCTTTCATACCCAGAGTTTTGACAGGATGGGGAAGAGCATGATAAATAACTAGGTCAAGATTGAAGCAAATGACAGTTATTATGTGACAGTGATTAAGAACACTCTTGGTGCAGTCACCCAGCTCTGCACATCTTTGATGAGGATTTGGAGTTAGAGCTTGGAAGGCAGCCCCCCCCCCCCCCCCCAGTTTCCTGTACTGAGTAACTACCTCATACTGCAAAGGACATCTTTCTCAGCGAGACCTTCACCATTCAGGTAGCTTGGTGGGGGGAGCAATTGCCCCACTCTGTTGGAAAACCTCTTGCCCCACCCTCTGGAGTTTAAGTCTTGCTGTGATCTATAGCCTGAAGCTAATTAAGACTGAGAATAACAATCAGACTCTGGAGACTATGAGTCTTTGCCTGATCCCCTTCTGGACCCGGGGCTAAGAAAATCAGAAGTATCAGATTATCTCACTCATATTTTGAATCCAATGAACAAAATTAACTGATGGACAAATTAGATCCAGAGACATACAAGCATGGAACAGACTGTCAAATCTCAGAGGGAGGCAAGGGTGGATGGGGAGGAAGAGATTAAACAAAGAATGCATATAATGCATAACCTATGGACACAGACATAACCCATGGACACAGAAAAGGCTTGGGACTGGGGGACTGAGACCAGGTGTGGGCTAGAAAAGGCCAATAGGGAAAAGAGGGGACATATATAATACTTTCAACAGTAAAGATTTAAAAAATAAAATTAGCACTGACCAGTTTGGCTCAGTGGATAGAGCGTCGGCCTGAGGACTCAAGGATCCCAGGTTCAATTTCGGTCAGGGGCATGTACCTTGGTTTCGGGCACATACCCAGTGGGGAGTGTGTAGGAGGCAGCTGATCGGTTTTTCTCTCTCATCAATGTTTCTAACTCTCTATTCCTCTCCTTTCCTCTCTGTAAAAAAAAAAAAAAATCAATAAAATATATTTAAAAAAATTAAATTAAAATGCTACATTAATAAAAAGAGTCTAAGGCTATAGGGTTCTAAAGTTTCTTTTCTTTTTAAAAAATATATTTTATTGATTTTATACAGAGAGGAAGAGAGAGAGAGATAGAGAGTTAGAAACATCGATGAGAGAGAATCATTGATCAGCTGCCTCTTGCACACCCCCTACCGGGGATGTGCCCGCAAGGTTCTAAAGTTTCAAGGTTATGTCTTCTTTCCTGGTAGGAGTGGGAGTCACCAGGTGGGCAGCTCATATGGACACTCACCTTCTGCCTCAGGATGCTTCATTAGCAGCAGAAATCCATAGCGTAATGTAGAGCTCACAGTTTCTGTGCCAGCAAAGAAGAGGTTGAGAGTGGTGAGGACCAAGTTCTTGAGGTTAAATTCTGTGTGTGGATTATTTTTGTCCTGAAAATGAAATGGATATGAAATAGAATCACCCTTTTCTGTCTTTTTTTTTTTTAAATAAATTTTTATTGTTCATATTATTACAAATGTTCCTTCCCCACCCCCCCACTATTGCTCTCCTCCACCAGGTTCCCACCCCACCCTCTGCCCTTTCCCCACTCCCCATTGTCCTCATCCATGGGTGCACAGTTTATGTTCAGTCTCTTCCCACACCCCCCTCTCCCCTTTTCCCCAAGAATCGTCAGTTCACTCCCCTTCCATACCTCTGATTCTATTATATTCAACAGTTACTATTGTTCATCAGATTTTTTTTTTAATTTCCTTGGTTTTTAGATTCACTTGTTGATAGTTACGTATTTGTTGTTCATAATTTTTATCTTTGTTTACTTTCTCTTCTGAAAGAACTCCCTTCAGCAACTCATATAAGTCTGGTTTGGTGTTGATGAACTCCTTTAGCTTTTTTTTATTAGTGAAGCTCATTATCTGACCTTCGATTCTGAGTGATAGCTTTGCTGGATAGATTATCTTTGGCTGTAGGTTCTTACTATTCATCACCTTGAATATTTCTTGCCATTCCCGTCTGGCCTGCATGGTTTCTGTTGAGAAGTCAGCTGACAATCGTATAGGTGCTCCTTTATAGGTAACTACCTTCTTTGCTCTTGCTTCTTTTAATATTCTCTCTTTGTCTTTTGCTCTTGGAATTTTAATTATGATTTGTCTTGGTGTGGTCCTCTTTGGATTCCTTTTGTTTGGAGTTCTGTGCGCTTCCTGGACTTGTAAGTCTAATTCTTTCCCCAGGTGGGGGAAGTTTTCTGTCACTATTTCTTTCAGTATGTTTTCGATATCTTGCTCTCTCTCATCTTCTGGGACCCCCATAATTCTGATGTTGGTTCGCTTGAAGTTGTCCCAGAGGTTTCTTACATTATCTTCAATTTTCTGGATTCTCTTGCCTTCTAGCTTCTGTGAAGGAGTGTCTTCTGGCTCTTTATGTTCCAAATCTTTGACTTGATTCTTGCGATTTTCCCTTCTGTTTTTAGGACTCTGTAAAATATTTTTTATTTCAGACAATGTATTCTTTATTTCTTGTTGTTCCCTTATCATTTCTTGTTGATTCCTTATTAATTCTAGTTGATTTCTTTTCATATCCTCATAGGTCTTATCCATCTTTTCTAGGAAACTCTTGAAAAACCTTATAAGCATAGATTTGAACTCTATATCCAGTTGCTTTTTGTCCTCCATTTCTTTCGTTTGTGATCTATTTCGTTGTCGCATTTCACAGTTACAGATGGGGCGGGGTTTCAGGATGGAGCCTGCAGCTTTGGCTTCCGTCAGCCCCGCCCTATGCGGGTCCTTCAGTGCTTGCTGCCGGCGCCTCTGAGAGAAAGGTGCCCTCAATTTTCGCCTGCTGCCAAACAGTCAATGCTCTCCCCAATGAGCCCGGTATTGGGGTTCAGTTCAGTTGGAAGTGGAGTTGGAGGTGGCGTTCAGAGCAGACTGGAACCCGTCTCCTTCCCTCCAGGCACTCCCGCGGCACAGCCGGCCGTCCCTTCTCTGAGCGCACTGCGCGGCGCCGCCGGGACCCCCTTTCGCCGCTTCCCCGGGTTCCGCCTTACAGCCCGGCTCCCTCTGTGTGAGCCTGGGTCCCCGGGGTCTGGCCTAGGCTTGGGTTCAGAGCAGTCTGGGGCCCAGCACAGTCGGAGTTTTATCTCCTTCCCGCTGGGGAACGCCAGCCAGGCACTCAGCCGCCCTCCTCTCCGGCTCCGTCCTCTCTGCACGCCGCGTGTCTCTGTACCTTGGGCTTTTCCAGCTCCTCCGCGCTTCCTTCTGGTTTTCTCCTTGCTTCTCGTTGTAGAATTTCCAGTCAGTCAACTTTCCTGTAGTTCTGGATAATGTCCGTTTTATATTTTAGTTGTATTTTATTGAAATTGTTGTGTGAGGCTGCAGCTAGGTATTCACCTGGGCGCAGCCATCTTGGAGGACCCTTTCTCACCCTTTTCTGTCTTTATTCTCTTATTTTTCCCTTTGTGTATGGTAGGCCTTTGTGAAAGCACAATAGATAGGAAAACTAAGTGGGTGTCCAGGAGAGGAAATAGCTAGAGCAAAGGTCGTGAGGCAGGAGTATTCCTGGTGTGTTTGAGAGCAGCAAGGAGAAGGCCAGTATGGTTGGAATGGAGTAAACAATGAGGAAAGTGGGAAGAGAAGAAACTAGAGATTGCCATGTTAGATTTGAATGTTCGAGAAGAAACTAGAGATTGCCATGTTAGATTTGAATGTTCTATGACATTAGGGTATAAAATTTTTAACTTCCAAGTGCTGCTGTTTTATATTAAAATATTCAGTTCTATAAATCTATGATACATAAGTATTAAGCTTCTAATTTATATATCTCTATGACTTTTAAGTTTAAAATTTAAACTCTTAAGTTTAAAAACTTTACATGTCTAAGGGTCTCAAATTTTAAGACTCCATAAACTCATCCTAGTTTTCTTTTCTTTTTGTTTTAAATTCTTTTTGTTGTTGTTGTTAATCCTCACCCAAGGATATTTTTTCATTAATTTTTTTAGAGAGAGTGAAAGAAAGACAGAGAGAAACATTGGTGTGAGAGAAACACACCAATTGGTTGTCTCCTGAACAAGCCCTGACCAGGGACTATGTTGGGGAGAAGCCTGCAATCAAGTACTTGCCTTTGACAATTTGGACTGTAGGCCTACACTCTATTTACTGAGCTAAACAAGCAAGGGCTGGTTTTAAATTCTTTATTGTTTAAAGTATTATGGACATCTCCCTTTTCCCTCCCATTGACCTCTCCCTAGCCATTTCCACACCCCCCCTAGCATATGCTCTTCCCCCATACTTTCTATGTCTATGAGTTATGCTTATATGCATGCATACAACTCCTTTTGTTGATATCTTACCCTTCCCCACCTCCCCTGCCTTTCCTCTGATGTTAAATCATCTGTTCGATGCTTCTAGGTCTCTGAATCTATTTATGTTCATCAATTTATATTGTTCATTATATTCCATAAATGAATGAGATTATGTGATATTTATCTTTCTCTGACTGGCTTATTTCACTTAGCATAATGCTTTCCAGGTCCATCCATGCTGTTGCAAATGGTAAGAGTTCTGTCTTTTTTTACATCATTGTAGTATTCCATTATGTAGAGGTACCACAGTTTTTTAATCCACTCATACGCGGATGGTACTTAGGCTGTTTCCAAATCTTAGCTTTTGCAAATTGTGCTGCTATGAACATAGGAGTGCATATATCCTTTCTGATTTCTCATCCTACTTTTTTACAGTTGTAAGTCTCTGGCCCTTATAATCATACATGATTAGAAAGTTGTAGTTTTAAGTTTCCATATTCTTAAAATTTTTAGATTCAACGTTTACTTTCAAAAGTGTAAGAGTTATGCTTTTACAGTCTTTAGATCTCATCTATAAGTAAAATTACACCATGTGAAATAATGCTGGCTATTTTTTTTTTTTTGGTCTTTATCATATTTACAGATGAGTTTCAAGTTGCAGGTACTAGGGATTGAGGAGATGAGAGGAAAGAATTGGGGGAAGAGGATGTTACCTGGTGCATCTTGATGAGGAAACAGTCAATGAAATCTCGAGGGTTCTGTGGATCAAGGGATTCCTCATTGATCTTGACTCTTGAGGCAATGAAGTCCTTGAGCTCCTCTATCAAGTAATAGATACGATTGTGTCTTCCTGGCAAATGTTGCATGATTGCAGAATACATGTCATATAGCTGTGGGGAATAGGAAAAGGTGGTTTGTCAGCAATGGGCCATTCTGGGCTGAATCTCGAGTTAGGTATCTGGACTCAACATTCAGGGTCTGAGTACTAAGTGCATCCATTTGCTTTTTAGAGATTCAGGGCATATTGATACTCGCCTCTTGGGGTTGTGGGGAGTATTATGCAAGATAGCAAATTATTAATTATTTGTGTTTGGGGGTGGGCATAGAGGTGGCTAGTGGGAACCTGTGCCCAGGGTGTGCTCATCTCAATAAAACTCCCATTGATCATCTGCAGCAGCTTCAGGAACGTCTTGTCCTCATAGTCGAAGCGTCTTCCAAAGACAACCGAACTGATGACGTTGGAGACAGTGCGGCTCAGGAAGAAGGTGGGTTCGGTGGGGGCACCTGGGTGGTGAAAATTATCTATGTTGGAGGCAATGATCAGGAGCCTGGGTTGTGAAATCATTTCGTCATGAATATGAGTCCTAGCCCCACTGCCTAATAACATGTGTTAGTAATATAATATTTATATTTTGAGTCAATTCCCAAAATGCAAATTGGTTTAGTAACCACTTCACTGGTTCATGAGGATTTGGTAAAATTACCCATGTAAAATGCTCAACAGTCTTTGCCATATAGTAAACAGTAAAAACATGATGGTGGAGCTTAATAATTACTTTTAGTATAGGTATTTAATTGTGTTTGTGCTGGGGAGTCACAAATTTGGAAAAGGAGTCCTAGAAAGGGATACATCTTTAAAAAAACGATGGCTGGAGTTTGTCTATCTCTATCAATGGTTCCATTTGACCTATTAAGAAAATCCTTCCCTTGGCCTCAGCTGCACTATTTGTAACACAGGATACTTCTCAGGACAGTGGATTTGGGGGTGATTTCCTTAGAACAATGCATATAATAACAAATATACAATTTTGCAAATTATTTCTGGAGATATATAGACATTCAAAGCCTTTACGTAAACTATTTAGTATCCAGGGAGTCCATGTGAGGATTCTCTGACTTAGAGAAATTATAACCAATTCTATCTCTTATCTATTCATCTTTGTTTTTCTCAGCCCCTGTGTATTTTTTCTCTAGACCTCTGTGGTTCCAGATCTTATTTTTGGGTAGGCACCAGATTCCTTTAAAACTATAATGAAGATATAGTGTTTCAGATTCTCAAGATGAAAAATTTCTAATGATATGTTTAATAATAATGTGAATATGCTTAACATTACTGAAGATTGTCCTTAGGAATGGTTAGGATGGTAAAATTTTATGTTATGTGGTTTTTATCACAATTGTGTGTGTTTACATACATATGTAATTGAATTTGGCCCCATCACCAGAAAAAGGCACAAACTGACATATTGTCAAAGTCTGCATATGATATCAGGAGCTCACAAACTCCCTGAGATCCACTGATTAGAGTTTCTGAACAAGACGTCTCTAAGTCTTCTTCATGTTAACTTTATATATGGAACCTGGGTGGGAATGTCAGTGAATTCTAAATTTTCTTCATTCTTTCCCATCCCAAAGTTTTCTGTCACCAAAGCCTATGTGTTCTCTACAATCATCCAGTCACTCTGTAGCTCCCTCCCCCCTTGAGGCCCCATACCCTTTGTCTTCCGTAATTCCTCCAGTAGGAAGCCAGCCTCCTCCTGGATTCGCTCCTCAATGCTGCGCTTTCCCATCCCGAAGTCCCGAAGAATGGTCAGGGAGAAGCGTCGGAGAATTTTCCATCGTTCTCCATTAGCCATAGCTACACCTGCCGGAATCTCAGTGTAAGGCTGGTGCCTCCCCTCCCCTTCCTGTGTCTAACTCTTTACTAGACTAGGACAGATTATGAAAGCTCTAGAATCTGCTTGTAGGGAAACCTTTCCCAACCCCCCACGCTTGATGGGGAGACTAACGTTTCCTACATATAGGACCCTCAAAAATAGCCTAGCACTGAGGTGTAGAAAAGGAAATCAGGCTCTAGTGATTGAGAGTTTCCTACAGGATAAAGACTTAGAATTGGATGAATGGGATAGACACAAAGGAATGTGGAGGGAAGTATAGACAGAATGCCATATAGAGTAGCTTAGAGCCAAAACCAGTTTGGCTCAGTGGATAGAGCATCGGCCTGTGGACTGAAAGGTCCCAGGTTTGATTCCAGTCAAGGGTATATACATTGGTTGTGGGCACATCCTCGGTAGGGATGTGCAGGAAGCAGTTGGTCTATGTTTCTCTCTCAACGATTTTTCTAGCTCTCTGTCCCTCTTTCTCTCCCTTCCTCTCTGTAAAAAAAATCAATAAAATAGAGTAGCCTAGAATGAGAAGAGCACTTCTGTTTTCTATATACCATTTGAATTCTCTTTTTGTTGTTATTGTTGTTAATCTTCATTAAATGGCATTTTTTTAAAAACTGATTTTTAGAAAGAGTGGAAGGGTTGGATCTGTGTCTATGTAGAGGAAAATAAGAAGTAAGGTTGAGGGTTTCAGTGGGTATACAGTGTAAACTAATCAAAAATAAGAACAGAATTAATTCAGCAGATACTGTAAAGTCGGATGGTTTAGGTTCAAAATAAAATGTTCTACTACTTATTGTGTGATATTACCTAACCTTTCTCACTCTCACCTTCTTCATTTGCAATATTAGTAAGACAATACTAGCTCTCTCAAAGGAGAGACAATACTAGCTCTCTCAAAGGAGTCAGTCTCTCAAATTATCAAAGTACTTGGGATATAGCATGTACATTACAATCATTTTGTTTTCATTGTTAATGCGTTGTTGTTACTTACCATAACCTTGGAAGTTCCGCTCTATTGAAGCCAATTCTCCACGGCCACTGAAATCATCTGCTTTGTCTACCAGGGCCTCCTTCACTGCTTCATGTCCACATAAAATAACTACCGGCCGGGGACCCATGTACACAGTGAAGACTGGGCCATATTTCTCCCTGAGCTGAGAGTGAAGGAAGACACAAGAAGATAGGGCCGATTAGAGCACTAAGTATAGACCAATCAAAGATTTTAGGAGATGGAGATTTCAAGAGAATACAAATGTGGAATAACAGATAAAGGTAAGTCCTGGGTCTGGAAGGACTATTGAGAAAAGGGCACAGATGTCTTAGCTCTTGTGATCCTGGGCAAGACTCCCCAAACACCTCCACAAGCCTTAGTTTCCTCTTCTGTGAAATGATGGATTTGGATGAGATAAACCCCAAGATCCATGCTTCTCTCTCTGAAATGCTAAATTTCTAGAATCCTAGGATTTCATGACACTCAGTTTCAAAGTTCTAAGATAACTAGACTGCAAGAGTTATGTATTTAAGAATACAAGGTACCATGAGTCCAAAGTTCCAGTGTGCTAGGAATCTGTTTTTTCAAGAGTCTGAGATTCTGAAATGTTTCCAAGAGTCTGTATTTTAGAAGTTGGAAGGTCATACACGTATTGTCTATAGAATTAGTTACTTTCTGCTCTGATAGAGAAGATAAACAGACTCACCTTCATGAAAGACTGAAAGGTGGCATCCGTACGAATTTGTAACAGGTTCCCCAGGAAGGGTATTGGTGTGGGACCTGGGGGTAGCTTTCCCCCCTTATTGATCCGCTTCCAGGCAATGATGATAAGCAGACAAGACAAGCAGAGTGCCAGAAAGATAGTGAAGGCCCCTCCCAGCTCCATGGTGCTAGATCTAGAGGTTGTATCTGGGGCTTTCAGGTCCTGCCTAAATACGTTCTGGGAAATCAGCAGTACAGAAATCTGAACACCCTGGGATTCAAGTTTTCCGGGTGTGGATATCATTAAGGAAGAGATTGCTTTATCCGTGGGTGGTCAGTTATATAACTAATAATCTCCAACATGAATAAAGGTAGATTGAATTCACCCATGTAAGTCCACTGGGAACATTCCTCTTTCTTCATATTTCCAGTCCCTCAATTCTCCCTCAGCTCAACCCCTTTTTCAACATGTCTTGATTGGGTGTGGGAAGTATTGAACACCATTTTTAGGCTACTGCATTTAGGAATAAGACATATGGGTTCCAATTTCAGTTCCATCTTTTCTTCATTGGGCAAGTGACCTAACCTTCTTGGCCTTAGTTTCCCCATATGCCAAATAAGGTAACCAAATTATTTTTAGAAAGTCTTGATAGAGAATAGAGATGAATCTTTTCTCTGTGCCAGACCCTAATTAGTCATGTTAAAAAAGAAAAAAGAATAAAGACAGTGAGATAAAGATTTAGGGTAGCACGAGAACTCATTTGAAAGAGTTTTATTCAACAGATTTTCTTGTTTATACTTAGGCAATATTAAATAGTAATAATCAAAGATTACTTATGTTGGTTTATCAGAACTTTGTTGGTGTGTATGTACGTGTGTGTGTATGCGCTCGCCCGCGCGTGTGCTCACATGCACATTCATTTTCAAAGTCTGAGATGTAGAGACCATCTCTGGAGGGGAAGACCAGTATTGAGGTATGGTCTAGTGATTGCTTTCTGTAATAATATAAAGAAATTGTTTTCAACACTTTTTGTACCAAATATTTGTAAATCCTTTGTCCTGAAGCAAAATTCCTGAGTATTATATTCTACCTATACATATCATTAAACAAAACCCAGTGCTCTTCTCATATGTCTAGATTCTCATACTTAGAAATTGAATCTTTTAGGGAACTCACAGGTTTTTAAATAAGATTTGGCTAGCTGGGCTGAGGCAGCCTGTATCCAGTATTGGTGGGAATTCTGGGAAAACTGAATGACTCACAAAGTGCCAGCTTCAGAATCTTGGATCTCCTGCTAAAATATCTTTTGTGGAGTAAAAGTCAGCTCTAGGCTTCCTCGATTGACTCTCTCAGCAATCACCTCTTTCTTCTATTCTGATCCCCGCCTCCTTTCTCCTCATGCAAACACACTTAAAACCCATTCAGAACTAATATATTGATTACCATGATGGTTCAGAAAAGGATAGAGAAAGTATCCTTAGAACAGTTCCAGTCACCATGCCACTCCAGGCATAAATCCAGGAGTGTAGACCAAAAATCTGTGGTTTCCCACAGTTAAATAACCTCGGCTAACATCTGTGAGCCGATGTTATTTAATGCCATAATCTATGTATCCACTAGGAAGTCTCCCTGGTTCTTACGTTTACCCCCAACTTCTTTTCCACACCTCCTCTCATTCTGAGGCTCCAACTTGGTGTTCCAGCCTAGAACTACATCATGTCAGAGCTTAAAGAGGCCTTAGAAATATTTCTAGCTCAGAGTTTCCTCTTTAATTTAAAATATATAAAAGAAAGTGCAAAACTGTCATTATCTGGGGCATTTGAGATACTGTCTTGCTTCCCAGCAACTGTCAGCAGTTTGGCTCAAATAAAAATCTTTCATTTTTAAAATATGTTTTTATTGATTTTAGAGAGACAGAGAGGAAAGAGGAGGGATAAGAGAAATAGAAACATCAATGAGAGAGGAACATCATCAATTGGCTGCCTCCTGCACACCCCTACTGGGATTCAGCTAGGAACCCCAGTATATGTCCTGACCAAGGAATTGAACCAATAGCTTCTTCATTCCTGGGTCAATGCTCAAACACTTAGCCACACTAGCCAGGCTCAAATAAAATCTTTTAAAATTTTCTTACAGGTTTGGATGTTCTTACATCAAGATCTAGGAATACCCATTATGGAAATTGTTTTATGGGGTGGTTCCAAGATCAAACTAAACAACCTCCCCAAGTTAGCATTTTTGTTGAGGTATTGTGTTTCTCAGAATCTGTTGTCTTGAGGATTCTACAGTTCAATGATTTTAAGTTTCAGAAGCCTAAGGGTTCTTCCCATTGGAAGCAGGGGATTAACTTTAGAAAAGTGAGCTGAGGAGAAAGGGGCTATATGACCTTTCACCTCCTTGTTGATGTTTTCTTTAGAAGCAGGAAGGTACCACCAGTGCATGGCTGTTTCTTTCAGTCTAAATCAAAATAAACTTATTAGAGTCTTAGAAAATGAATTCTAGAAAGTGAATTTAGCACATTGGTCATTCTTCTACTGGAGAGTAGGACAATTAGGGAATGGGACTTCTGAATTTCTTTCCTTCTGCTGATGAAACACCAAAACAGACCCAATTAAAAAAAAAAACACCCACAGAGTTAACCCCACATGTAAGCATTTTATATTCAAAGTTCAGGAAACCAAAGAAAATTGAAAGGCAATATCCCTGATGCACATAGATGCAAAAATCCTCAACAAAATCTTAGCAAACAGAATACAGCAATACATTAAAAAAGATCAGGGCTGCTGATGGGAAGGCAGGCTGAAAGCTAGTGTGTGAGTGAGAGAATGAAAGGAGAGTGTGTGGACGTATGAAGAGAGGACGTATTGTGAGTGAGGGACAGTTATATTTCAAGGGACTGTTGGGGACTGCCAGACTAGGCTCCCCTGACCAGGCAGCCTCCACTGCTGATGAAATCTCTCCCGGAGCAACTGGCTTTGCTGCAGAGACCATGCCATCTTGAAGGGGAGAGTGGCTATGATTGGAAGCCTGGCCTTACTTTCAATTGGGAAGAATCAGATACCTCCCAGGATCCTACAACCACAACACCCAGGGACCAGCTGTGAACCCACAAACACTGGGTCTCAAGCAGTGCGATATGCGGACTTGGATGAGCTCTGTACCTTCTCATGGAAAGGTCAGATTTCTCCCAGTGAAAAGGGAGATCTGTGATGTAGGCTGAAGGGAGAAACATGTGTAGCAGGATCTAGAGGTTCAGAGGAAATCTGCGCCCCACAAAATCCACAGATGTTGGGGCCAGCATAGTCTGCTAACGTGGGAGGGGATCCACAGGGCTGCTGACAGAAGAGAACTCTAAAAATCAAACTGTAGCTGGGCTGGGTACAAAAAGGCAGCCTGAAGTTTTACCAGTAAACCAGTTATGCTGTGCCAGGGGGAAAAGATGTGCACAGAGATGGGAACAGGGTCTCGTGCTGTGCTGGGGCAAAAAAGTTGTGAGTTCACACACTTACTCTGGCTCTTTTTTTTTTTTTTTTTTTTTTTTTTTTTACCTTGCTTTTGATTACTAAGCCCGGTACATAGGATCACCCAATTAAAAACACTCTCAGAGTCTGCAGGGGAAAGTTATTTTTGTGAAACCTGGGGATCAGAGTGGGGGAAAATGATCAGAAAACCAGCTCTGGGGCAGTCCATACCCCCAAACCAGTATTAAGTGCAGCAGGGAAAACAAATTCTAAATACTGGGTAGAGAGGACTGATTGCCCTGGATGTCAGTACAGAAACACTGCCACTCAGGGGCTGAATCACAAACTGACTCATTGTGTAAATACAATTATAGGCAGGCTGTGTAACAAAGAAATACTGCCTGCTTGAAAACAAGATTGTGGCTTACAACACAGAGGAGCTAAGGAACACAGGAAACTTCAATACTGTCCTGACTACCCAACAGGAAGCAGGTATACCAAGCAGAACAGTAGAGGAAGTGAATGACCTTCAATATTGCACATTTTTATTTTTTATTTTTTACTTAAGAAACTAATTTTTTCTCTTTTGATTTTATATTTTTAATTATTACATTTTTATTTTTAACCAGTATATTTACTACTATTATTTTACTTTTTTAAAGTTTCATTTTATTTTCTCTTATTTTATTTTATTCTGGGATTAATGTTCTACAGTCTATTTTCATTTTTCTTTTAGCATCATTTTACTCTATCTCAACTTTACCTTTATGCAAAAACTCTCTTCCTCACTTTTTTCTTTTTATCTTACCCTCTTCCTGCTTTAGATTTTCCCTATTCCATCTTTTTACCCCCTGTTAAAAATTCATCCTACCTACATATCTAATTTCTGATCCTCTGCTCCAAGTCCACACACACTTTTCTCTTCTCTTTCTTCACTATCCAAAATTTTTCTCTCTTCCCTTTTGTTGTTGTTGTTTTTTCTTAATTTTTTTTGTTTTATTTTGTTTTGTCTTGTCCTTCTTTCTCTCTGTCCTATTGTTATTAGTTTGATTGTTGATTAGATTGCTTCGTTTGTGTGATTGTTTCTCTTTTTTGCTTCTGTTTTTCTCTCCTCGCTTGTTATTAATTTTTGTTTGTAGTTTGCTTTCATATCTGGGTGTTAGTTGTTCGCATTTCTTTTGGATTAGTTGTTGCTCTATTGGTGTTTTCTCCCCCATATAAGTAGTTTCTCCCCCCACCCTTCTTTTTTATTATCTTTCTTTTCTCTTACTTTTTTCACTTTTTCTCAATATAATTGTTTCACTCTTTTTTTAATCCTCTAATTTTCTTTTCTCTGGCGGTCACCTTTATTTGGGGTTATTAGTATCATGAATACATTTGTGTTCAGTGCCTTGTGCATTGTGCCTTAATGTGTTGTATTTTGTGCCTTTAAGTCAATGCAGGAGAGAGATATTTACATAATCGGACATCTGGAGAGGAGAGATCATGGGGAGACAAAGAAACAGCTTGCATATGAAAGAAAAGAATTCATCACCAGAAAAGGAAGTAAACAAAATGGAGGCAAGCAATAAGTCAGAAAAAGAATTCAGAGATGGTCATAAGGTTGCTAAAAAGGTTGGAAGACAAATTCAACAGTATGTGTAAGAACCAAGAGAAAATGAAGAACTAAAAAGAAATGAAAAATGACATCACATCAATAAAGAACTCAATAGAAGGCACCAA